AGTATACATGTATAGCTGGTCAAGTTCCAATAAAGCCAACGAAACCTTATATGGCTATTTGCACGGCTATAAAGGCCGAAACCCACTAGCAACACGCCACGCCATGCTACGCCACCCCATGCCATGTGACATATGCTCACGTGGGACATTTTGTGTGCAAATTTGTAACACGCCACATGACGACACGCTCATTTTATTCTATACATTTTATTTTAAAAAATTGTCAGTAGTTTTGAGAACATCACGAGTAGAGAAGCAGTTCGTCTAGTGACTTTAGAGTTTCTAGAAGAATGTGCTGCTGCGGCTTGCGACTCTGATTTCACAGAAGAAAAAAAATATAAGATTTTGGGTGCACTAAATAAACAGGAATCGAGAAAAATATGGTTCTGCACTATTTGCGACGCGCCAAAATATTGAATAAATACAGAAACAGATTGCGGCGGGGCTAGAGAGGCGGCCGGAAAACATCTACACGTACCAACACGCGTGGGCAGCATCTGGGTATTTGAAAATATCACAAGTTGGATAGCGTGGTGTGTCATGACGTGGTATGGCGTGTTGCAAGTGTGTACGCGGCACATGTAAATAAATGGAAGAATATACGCATACATTTCCGTCACATGGCGTGGCGTGTTGCTAATGGGTTTCCGCCTTAACTTAGGGGCACCAGAAACACACGTGGAGATATGTTGTTGGAAAATCTAAACGAAGAAAACCTCTACTGTCTGAATACCTATTTCCAGAAACAGAAACAGAGGAAATTGACAGAGCCAAGTCCCGGCAAAACCAAGAACGAGATAGATTACATACTTGCTAATAGCAGAAAAATCTGCACAAATGTTTTAGTATTAAACCAGTTTGATATGGGTAGTAACCATAGAATGGTTAGTAGAGCATCATTCGTTTTTAATCTTAAAGTCGAAAGAAATAAGCTGATTTATCAAGATAGATTTTCCACCGTGGAAAAATTGAGTCGTAAGGAGAAAGAATATCAAAGCGAGCTGAAAAAAAAAACTAGAACTAGCCGAAGCTCTAGGAGAAATGGATATCAACAAGTTGATTAAGAAAGTGGTTAATGATATACGCACTGCTGTGAAAAAAATCTGCACGAAAGGTATAGGCAATAAAAATCATAACTTACAGCCGGACAAACTGGCACTTATGGAAACGAGAAGAAACACCAACAGAGATATACCTGAAGACCAAGAACAAGGCCATTTGCAAAAAAGTGAGAAAAGACATCCGAAGCCACAACAATAAACTAATTGAGAATCCTATAGAGGCCAACGCGAATATGAGAGTTCAAAAATCCAAAATGTCCACGGGAAAACAGAGAATGACCAAAATAAGAGACTAACAGGGTAATTTAATCTCAGACAAGAACATTGTTGATCATATCCATGCATTCTCGCCTTTATACTTCCACCGCAACCAGTCCAAAAGATTCAAAAACAGCAGCAGCAGCAGCATCAGATACTATCTGCAACGCTGGGTCAAAAGACATCCCTGATATAACAAAGCAAGAGATACGTACACAACTAAAACAAATAAAAAACAGGAAGATCCCAGGGGAAGATAGAATCACCTGTGAAATGCTGAAAATGGGGAAACATTGTGGAGGAAACACTGCAGATACTTCTCAACAAATGCTTTAATGAGGGAAGAATACCTGATGCGTGGCATAACGCAGGAGTAATTCTACTTTTCAAGAAAGGTGATAACACCGACATAGAGAACTACGGAGCAATCAGCCCTTTATCACACGTATATAAACTTCTTACTAAGATTATCACTAATAGACTCACCAACAACTTAGACGCCTACCAACCAGTAGAACAGGCGGGGTTTCGAAAGGGGTATAGCACCGTCGAACATCTCCAGGCAATAAGAACATTAATAGAAAAAAAACTGAATGTAACATACCTCTACACTTAGCATTCGTAGATTTTCGTAATGTATTTGACTCCATTGAGATATGAGCTTTCCTGCAACCCATGGACGATGCTAGAATTGATTCCCGATGTACAAAACTCCTAAAATACATATATGAAAATGCCACCTTCTATATCAAAATAAATGAAAACCTGACGACAGATAAAATGGGAATTAGGAAAGGCGTGCGCCAGGGAGACACCATATCTTCCAAACTGTCTACCTTATCGTTGGAGAACATATTCAAAACACTGTCTTGGAAGGCTAAAGGTATCAATGTGAACGGAATTCTTCTAAACCACCTACGATTCGCCGACGATATCGTCCTCATAAGTGGCGACATCCATAAACTCAAAGATGTGTTAAGCCAACTGAATGAAGCGTCGAGAAAAATGGGTCTTAGAATGAAGAAAGGTTCATTCTAAACCAAGATAATCAGCGATATGGAAGATATTGTAACAATAGACGATACGACTTTATGAAACGTCGAGGAATATGTCTACTCTGGGCATACTATCAAAATTGGCAAAGAGAATCAAACTGCTGGAATAAAACGTAGGAAAAGACTTGCATGGGCAGCTTTTGGAAAGCTGAGCTATATATACAAAAACAGAGAGATACTAATAATCTTAAAGCGAAAAGTCTTCGATACATGTATACTGCCGGTAGCAATATACGATTAAGAAACAATGGCAGTAACAAAAAGAAGTGCTGAACAGTTGAGAGTGATGCAAAGAGCACTAGAGCGGATCATGCTTGGAATCAGTCTAAGAGATAGGATCAGGAATGAGGAAATCCGACGAAGAACTAAAGTGTGGATATCATAAAGCGTATCTCGGAAAGCAAATGAAAGTGGGTGGGGCATGTGGCCAGACAGAACCATGACAGTTGGGCAGCGCGAGTAACCCATTGGCGACCAAGACAGACCAAACGTAGTGCAGGCAGACCCCAGAAAAGGTAACTGAACGATATCAAACTGATTGCGGGGAAAGATGGTTCCAAACAGCACAAGACAGAAAGGCATGAAAACGGATGAAAGAGGCCTACGTTCAGGAATGGACAAATGAAGGCTGAAGAAGAAGAAGAAGAAGAGAACTTGAGGGATGCTTGAGCTCCACTTAGATTAAATATCCCTTAAGTTATAGCCGTGCGAATTGCCGATAAATATTTTTCCAAGCAGTTGAAAAGATTATATCCTTCATTCGATCAAGAAGATTATCAAAGTAATATAACTAGTGCAATGGAAATTATCAATAATTTCCATTGCACGAGTTGTATTTAATGAGAGAATTTCATAAATCAAAAATTTAAATTTTTTGTCAAAAAATGTCAAAACACCAGTTTTCGCACCAGTTAGTATGCAATTATCTGATAATTTGCACTAGTGCAAATTATCGCATAATTACAATCTGATTGGTTCAAATCAACAATCAAAACATGTCAATTTATTGTTGGAATACCAGTTTTGACAGATGTATGAAATTCTCTAAATTATTTTCGAGGTATTGCTCATAGCGTTACTTTTAATTTAAAATAATGTATGTTAATATTTTATAGTGTAATAATTTACGATTTTGTAAATAAAAGGTTTTCCATTAGAAGCGCTCGATTTTTGTAACGCAATAAAACAAATTGTGAGAATGATAGTGATCTATGTTTATTTTTATCATAAAGTATATGTGTTAACATTATGTTTTTAAAATTATATCAGGTAAATCTCCGCCGCGGCTTTGCCTGGTTTGTTGAATTCTGGATACCCAATTTGATAACGTTATCGCATAAAGTGGCTCAATTTCAGCAATAACGTGCCTAATGTTGGCCTTTAAGGCGGCAACAGTTCGAGGTTTGTCAACATAGACTTTGGATTTTAGAAAGTCCTAGAAAAAAAATCACAGTGGCGTTAGGTCGGCGAATGGGCTCTTTCACTAATTTTTGAAATTGGCATATTTGGATAAAGCAACTAAAGACAGAATTTTCTGTATTTTTACTTTTGAAAAATGCATAGTCCTTCTTGAGAAAACAGAAAAAAAAGAATTACCTCCAAATAAAAACCCAGAATTTATTTCTATGACGTCGCAGCAAGCAATTTGACCGTGTTGCCACTAATTGTCGACATTGAAAATTTGTAATAGATTTAATTCTGAAATGTTCGCAAAATATCATGAAAAGTAGTTAAATTAATCACTTATGGATTCAAGATTTTATAACTTTTTTATTGAAATTATGTTTAAACACAATTTAATACAATTTTTTATGTTTAGTTTTATTTTATTTTTTTACGTTGCACTACATCTAGTCACCACCGACAACAGCGCATTCGAACCTTTACCTGCTTTTACTACAGGGTACACAGCCGAGGCGGTAAGCTCCTTTGTAACAACAAGCGAAATGAAAAATATTTATGTGACGTCAGCAAATCGGCGCGTTTTAATTTAATTTGAATTTAGCCAATTTGAAATGCCTGTAAAAAACTTATTTAACCTTGTAGAACTTTTTTTTTTGGTATATATGCCTAAAATAGTCCCTCCTTTGGGATTTTATACTCAAATTACGTATTCAAATATTAGTGAAAGACCCCATTGTGGATTCTGGAAATCGATCGGTGACACCATAAATTGCCGAATAGAACATTAGTTTTGATAATGATAATCATTTTTAACAATTTCGACGCGTTGCTCAGTCGTGTAGCGCTTCATAATAAAATGCAGAGACTATATATGGCTCCCAAAGATAGCACCTGTGTGACTATTGAGTTCGTCATGGGCTATTGCTATTGTCAAACATCGAGCGTTACTATTGAAAAACCCTATACAATATTTTTAATCCCGTAAAAACGCAGTTATTTTTTTTATTTTTACCAAAATTAAGATTCCCCCTTATAGGCCCTATACAATACAATGATATATTCGAGTAATAATCTATTCGAGAAATTTAATATTCCAGTCAATGCTTTTCGCGAAATTTCTATTTCGTGCAATTGGTTTCCTAGTAATTTTTTTCGAGCAATTGCTTACGAGGAACTTTCCTAAATCCACGTAATGTATTTATGTAATGTATATATGTTTCAGAACATTTGATGTTGGCATGCTGAAGCAGTCTTTCGACTGCTCGTGGTTCGTCTGAATGTCGGGGAATCGCCACCAACATGTCGGGAACACCGAAGAGTGCAGGCGAGTTAGTTTAATATGTATTTTCATGCTCATGGGTTACTTTTACTCACTATATTTCGTCTAGCAGGTAAGAATTTTCTTATATTTGTGTCAGAATGTATATAAGAAAATAAGTTTAATTTTGTAGGGTCTATGCTTGGTGGACCTGGAGCACCAGAGAACATTACAGTAAAATTTTTGAATCCTACGTCAGTGAGGATCTCATGGGATACAACGTTAAGCACGATTGATAAATACGATGTTATATACAGACCGACGGACGCAAGGTAATCATAAACTCAATCATCGTTATATCCACCTTATACAATAATATACTGCTTTTGCACCAAAATCTCAACTAAACCTCACGTAGTCTGGCAAATTATTCCGCGATGACCAGAATGCAATTAGTTACAGGGTGGTGGCAATTGTTGCTGGAAACAGCGATGCGGTGACTTTATCCAACTTGAATCCAGATACTCAGTATCAGTTAACGGTGTCGGCAATATGGGCTGGAAGGAAATATAGAAGTAGGCCTATCGTCTTCCGAACACTTGGTAAGAATATCTAATTTATACGATTTCTAAATTCACAATAGCAATTGCGCACTGCCTCCACCTATTGTAACTACTAAAGAAATCTCTTATTATTGGTATTGTTATCAACGAAATGCAATCTGAGGCCTTATAGATTGTTGACACTCCTATTTCTTTGTTCGTAGGGTGCTCTCCTGCGTTAGCAATTTCCGGACCCTCACGTTCATCAGGCAGGATTTGCACCCAGGAAGGTTAGTAACAATTTTTATTGTTAAGGCAAATTGATTAAATTAATCAAATATTTATTCGGATTCGAATTTATTGCCTTGCTAAATATCTATTAAATAAATGAGCAGAATAGTAAATCATTCCATTCCATTATTAATTCTAAATTTGATCAATATTGGGGAAATTTATAAATATACTGCAGAGTTTTGGCACGTGTTGCAGTTGGAATAATTCCAAAATTGTTAAAGTTATTGAAGTAAAATTAAAAGGGATATTATCGCAGACGGAAACTTTGACCTAGTTTACCTAAATTACAAGTCCCAAAGTAGGAAAGCCATAAAGTGCTTCTGGATTGCTTCCAATATTTAACCTCCAAGCTGTTACCTATTGAATAAATTATCATTTGTGTTACAGAACCTTCTAGGTCATCACCTCAACAACAAGAATCTATGGCAGTAGTAGCCGGCAGCGTAGGGACTACCACTTATACAACGACCGATTCCACAACCACGAGAGGCACTTTAGCGGAAGAAGATATGGCTGTGGAATATGCTCAAAATAGTACAACGGTAATTGCATCTAATCAAAATCAAACCTAGAACCCATTGAGAATGTTCTCTCATAATAACGGTGGCTATTAAATATGTTTGAGAAAATATATTTCAGGGATAATAAATTTATTTTGCATGCAGTTTTTGAGCAGAAATACCTTTTTTAAGGTTCCTAAACTTAGCTAATGTGAGTAACAGCCTCAGCAAATTTAATTCCATTCTTATCTTTATAACGGAACAACTTCACTATGTTCTTTCAATCTATAAGTGAAAAAGAAAGTGCATAAAGGCCCCAATCTTTGCATTAATCGGACCCATAGTAAAATCGAAAATGGACACAGTTTCTAAGCAAAGTACCAACTACTGCATGTTTTTGGGTGTTGTGGCAAGGAAAGGGGGGTAAGTTTCTGCATTTATGCGCGCTGGAAGCTATTTGTGCCACATTAGAAAAAGCTATAAATGCTAGCTACTGCAATCAAAATTGATTTTGTGTAATGCCCCTCCGTCTGTGTCTCAAAAGTATTAAAAACCCTTAATTTTTGTTAATTTTCGATTGTACACCGTTGAGTCTGCCACTCCAAAAATAGCTTTTAATGTTAGCTACTATACCTAGCAGTCAACAAAAAATAATTTTGTGTAATGCCCCGCCGTCTGAGTGTCTCAAAAAAATTAAAAACTCTAATAAAGTCGTGATTTTTGTCAATTTTCGATTGTAGTCTCTTCACGATTGAGTCACAGCATATTGGATCTCAACGAGTATTTGGTTCAATTCAAGGGCGAACTACGGTATCCGCCAAAAAAAACAGTACCGAAATCTAGAGCGCTGAGTAATTGCACACGCAAGTTGCATTTATATATTGGGATAAGTTAAGGTTGAAATCTTCGTCATTATGTATCTTTCAACTTAAGAAACAGTTTTCTTAGTAGAGTTTTGGAAGGAATAAAGGCTCAAGTTTCGAACAAGTCTCAGAAAAATTTAAATATTTTCAATGATTTGCAGAATCGTTATGAAGCTTTTTTGCGTCGCTATGATGCATTTTTTGAACATATACGCATGATACAAATTAAAAAATGATAGAATTTATATGTTCGGTACTGTTTATTTTGGCGGATACTGTATTAACCTTATTGAATGAATGAATGAAAGAGTGGGCGGCCGCGACCGTAGTGCACATAGGTCTCCTGTGGTGGTCCCGTCGTGCCCCACTGAGTTCTACCAGAGGCCTATGTCCTTAGAAAAGCCAATCAGGCACCCTGGCTTCATCCTTTTGACGTCATCGGGCAAGCAATACAACTTCCCAGGTGTTTGAACCTCGCGCGCGTGAGTGCAGGTCACTCACCGATGATGCGGTCTGCCGTCTCCTCCTCCTCCATGCACCAGCGGCATTCCGGGTCGTCCGTAATGCCCATGCTGTGGAGATGGCGTCTTAGTTGCCAGTGTCCGCTTAGGAGACCAGTCACTAGCCGTATCTCGCGTCTGTTCAGGCGCAGTAGTTGTTTGGTGAGACAGGCAGAGGGCCCATCAATATGGGCCTTGGCCTGCCTCATGCCAGGTGCCTCCATATCCATCTCCCAAGGAATCGCTCCGCGAGGAGACCCTTGAGGGACGTGACAGCCTCACATTTGGCTATGCCCAGCGTGGGCTCAGGGCCCACAGGTGACATCGACGATCCCTGTCTGGCAAGTAAATCAGCTTCGTCGTTGCCCGCGACGCCCGAGTGACCGGGCACCCAGACGAGGCGGACCCGGCACTCACCAGTCTTCCCAGGACTTTTTTGCACTCCATTACAAGCTTAGAGCGCACAGTGTCAGCCATAATGGCTTTGATAGCGGCTCTGCTGTCGGAGCAGATTGAAACGACTGCATTCCTGTGGCGCCGGTTTAAAATTTCCCGACCACACTCCATTACAGCGAAAATTTCAGCCTGGAAGACAGTAGCGAGTTCCCCTAAAGAAAAGGATTTACTAATTTTAGGGGACCCTCCGCAAAAACCTGCCCCTGACCTGTTATCCATTCTGGAGCCATCCGTGTACCAGATAGCTCCACTATTCAGGGCGTGGAGCCGCCCAGCCATTCACTTCTTTCAGTTCGAAAAGAGAGTAGAAGACAACAAGTGCCATAGGGATAGGGATAACGATCTCTATCCGTTATAGAGTTCCACCTCAGTATGCCTTCCTTCACATACCGGTCCAGTAGCCTCTCCAGAGTCTTGAGCAGGAAACTAGTGGGGCTAATGGGTCGATACGATTTTGGGTCGGAGTAGTCGCTCCGTCCGGTTTTCGGAATGAAGACGACCTTCACCTCTCTCCACTGCTTTGGAATGTATCCATGAGCGAGGCAAGATCTGAAGATCTTTACCAGGTGGACAGTAATGATATCCGACGCGTTTTGCAGCTGGCAAGGGTGGATTCCATCCTTACCAGGAGATTTAAAGGGGGGAAAGGACTTAATCGCCCATTTCACCCTCTCATAACTTACTACTTTTTTGGCGGTGTCGTGCCAGCGCTAATCGGGGCCCGAACGCCGGCCAAGACAGCGTTGTTTGAACTGGAGCCCGGGAAGTTCGTGCGAAGCATGACCTCCAGGGTTTCCTGTTCGTTGGTCGTGAAGCCACCGTCCGGAAGAGACAGTGATCCTATTCTACTACCGGGTCCCTTTGACAGAGCCTTGCAGAGGCGAGCTGCTGGGGATATTTTTTCAACATCCCCGCAGTATTGCCTCCAGCTCTGTCTTTTGGAATCCCTGAGCGCCTTTTTGCTGCGTGAAACGCTTCCTAGTCGGCGACGAGTTTGGAGCGTTCAGCCCTTCTAAAGAGCCGGCGCGTGATGTTCCGATGGAATTCCGTAGTGTGGTTCCACCAGACATTTTTTGCATTTTGGGGTTTCCGTCTTAGTGGACAGCTATCCTCGTATACCCGGAGAGTTGCGCTGGACAGTTTGTTTAGCCCAATCTCAATGTCGGCTGGAAGGTTATACCTTGCCGGCATATCCGAGAGCCCACCTGTGAGCTCCTCCCGAAAGAGGTCCCATTTGGTGTGCCTCGGGTTTCTAAAGACTGGGTTGTCGCAGCTGGTGTCTTAATTCAGCTCGAAGAGAATGTGCCTGTGGTCCGACATTGAGACCTCCAGGGACACTCTCCATGCTTTAAAAAGGTTCACAATTTTTGGTGAACAGATGGTTAGGTCAATCACAGATTGGCCACGGTTGCAGTAAAAGGTAGGGACGCTTCCCCGATTGAGGACCTCCAAGCCGCTGGAGCTCAGGAAGCCAGCCAGAGAGCGTCCCCTGGGGTTTTCGTCTCTGCAGCTCCATAGACCGTGGTGCGAATTAGAGTCGCAGCCTATGAGCAGAGGGAGCCCCGTGCTTTCACAGTACCTTGATACTGTAATGACGTCCGGAGGAGGAGATTCGATATCGATAGGAAAGTAGGAAGAGCAGACTACAAGGTCCTCCCTGACTCCTTTTCCCAGCGAAACTTTAATAACTGCCAGATCCCTGGTGCAGAGACTAGGTAGGGGAAAACATTGCACGTTCCTTGTCAGGATGCAGGCGCGAGGGCTCTCACAGGGTACGCAGCAATGTAGCGCGCCCCCCGCCAGGCCCAAGCCCCTCAACCCGCCCCGGAAAATCCAGGGTTCCTGGATCAGGGCAATGGAAATGTCAAGCTCGTTGAGCCTTTTGCACAGGACAGCAGAAGATGCTTTTCCGTCCTGTAAATTTGCCTGTAGAAATTTTATTGGCATGTTTAATATGATTAAGTTATATGTTTAAATTCATACACGGTCGCCTAACGATCGAACCGGAGGTTGACAATTAGGTAAGTTAGTTACCAGCAGCAGATGTTGGCCGCTTGCAGGGGTAGGGGAAGATCAGGTTTAGTCCTCGGAACTGGAGGAGCCCTCCTCCATTTCCTCTGGCCTATCTCCTGGCTTCATGGCGTCGGAGGCCACTTGGTCGGTGCCTGTAGCCTTCTCGTTTTTGGCAGTTTCCCCGTCGGTGTCCTTAGGGGGGACCGCCTGGGAGCCACCGCCCTTTTTGCCTTCCATAAGGGAGATAGAGGCCCTGGTGATGCTATAAAATAGCGAGCCACCCCTCTCCCTTATGTCTTTGGCCGACTTTTCGTCGACCCCAACCACGAGTCTGAGGTTTTTAGCCTCCTCCTTGCGCTCCCATACCCTCCATTGGGAACACGGGAGGCCAGGGTTCTGACTTTCCAGGACCTTCAATGTGTCCTGGTTAGACTGGTGTCTTCTACCAGGGACCCGTAGGATCGCCCGATGCAGACGCAGTATGAAGAGGTCCACTGTGACCAGCGTGACCCCCTCCCAGGGAGTGATGTTTGGGAGCTCCCTTCGGAGCCACTCCAAACTTTCATGGTTCGCGGCCGTGACCAGGATGTGGTTCCTGACTAGCCGGAGGGAAAGGAACTGCGGCAGTTGAAACCCGCTGCTGCCCGATGGTGAGCGCAACAGAGCCTCAGTTACTGCGTCGATGAAATCGAGCAGTTGCCCGTCCGTAAAACCGGTATCGGGTTGTTCCGCACGGGTTACGGCTAGCTGCAGTCGTGCGCTGCCTAACGATTGCGCATAGCTCGCGCTGGGCCCAGCTACCTGGGTGGTTTTGGGTCTTTTGGCACAGCTCGCGCGCTCGATAGGCGTAGATCCTAGTGTTCTTCGCAGCTTCGCGTGCGGGCCCTGTGCCTCCTTTGTGGAAGCCCTGGTCCCGCTCGTGGGGGGAGGGGTGGAAGCAGGGGCAGCCAAGGAGGCCGGGGCCGAAGAGCCCTGAGCCGTTTCGGCAGCCCTAGCTTTCCTCCTTCTCTTCTTCTATGCACCGTTTATGTTGCGGCGATTAAGCCGAGCCCTGTTAAGGGCGCCAGCGAGGTCGTCAACATTCGTTGCCTTGGAAGGGCCATCCGTGGACGGTCCTTCCGATGAAGTGGGTGCCGAGATCCCTGGTTGGACAGAGCTCTCCGGGGGATTTGTTGCCGCCGAGGTCCCTGCTTGGGCAGAGCTCTCGGAG